GGGGCGGGAGGGAGCAGGGTGCCCTGGGTGGGCACCTGGGGTGGGGCTCCCGTCCTGCCTCCACCCTCACCCCACCCCCCGGCCTCACTTCCCGGGGCCCAGGCTCCTGGGTGTCTGCACATGGGAGCTGACAGCCCCCCGTTACCGCTCGCCCCCCAGTACACCCTCCTGAGGAACTCCAGGGCGTCCCTGCGGCGGTTCCGGGCCTCGAGCTCCACCTTCTTCTTCCAGCTGGTGCTCATCCTGGGCCTGCTCCTGGCCACCGTGCCGCTGGGCTACGTGGTCAGCAGGTGCGGGGAGGAGAGGGCGGGAGGCGGAGGGCTGGGCCGGCCGCTCCTCACTGGGCCCTGACGCCGGTCTCTCCGCAGCATCCACTCCTCTCGGGGTTGCGGCCTCTTCACCAACTACTCGGCCCCCTGGCAGGTGGTCCCTGAGCTGGTGGCCCTCCGGCTGCCACCCCCTGGCCAGCAGGCCCTCCACTACCTGGGCTCCCAGGCGTTCAGCTTTCCCCTCCTCATCCTGCTCAGGTACCTCTAGGGCAGCAGGGGTCAAGGGAGGGGCCCCTGGGAGGGGGTCCTTCCATGGACACCTCCAGCCAGTCTCATGGGATCCGGGAGCAGGACAGGGAGAGCCCGGGGAGGCAGGTGGCCTGGGGGTTCCTCCTCTGCCCCTGGGCAGCCTCTGGGGCCTCGCCTGTACCCAGGCACCTCACCTGACCCCCGGGGGGAGCACAGTGCCTGACGCACGCTGAGCATGGTGGGAGGAAGGAGAGGTAAGAGGAAGCCGGGTCTGCAAACCCAGGCAGAGAGAAGACCCCAGGCGGTGGGGCGGAAGTGTGGGGGTGACTGACTTGGATCCCCCTCTATCCAAAGCCTCGTCCTGACGGTGTGCGTCTCCCAGTCCCAGGCCAACGCCAGGGCCATCCAGGGGCTCCGGAAGCAGCTGGTGTGGGTGAGTGAGAGCGGGTGAGACCCCATCCGAGCAGGGTGGTCTCGGGCTGGGAATGGAGGCGGGGAAAGGGCCAGGCGGTGCCAGGAGCCACGCAGGACTGTGGCCTTAGCCTTGGAGAATAGTGTCTAACGGGAGTGCGGCTGAGGGCGGGGCCGGGACGCTGTTGGGGGCGTGGTCTCGGACGGGACTAAGGCGGGACCCTGATGGGCTTTCTTGGGCGGGAACGGAGCCTTAGGAGGCGTGGCCTCGCTCGGGGA